GGCTGCTGTGCATGCTGGCACTCACCTTCCTCTTCTTCGTGGTGGAGGTGGTGGTGAGCCGGGTCACGTCGTCGCTGGCCATGCTCTCTGACTCCTTCCACATGCTCTCCGATGTCATGGCCCTGGTCGTGGCGCTGGTGGCCGTGCGCTTCGCCCAGCGCACCCGCGCCACCAAGAAGAACACCTTTGGGTGGGTGCGGGCAGAGGTGATGGGCGCCCTCGTCAATGCCGTCTTCCTCACCGCCCTCTGCTTCACCATCCTGCTGGAGGCCATCGAGCGCTTCACGGAGCCCCACGAGATCCAGCAGCCACTGGTGGTCATCGGTGTGGGGGTGGCGGGGCTCATCATCAACCTGCTGGGGCTCTGCCTCTTCAACCACCACGGTGTCGGGGGCCACGGCCATTCCCACGGCCGTGGGCACTCACACAGCAGCAGGCAGCACTCCCGCAGCAGCCCCAAGCCCGAGCAGCCACCCGGGGATGGCGAGGCTGCGTTGCACCGGGAGGAGACCAGCACCTTGGTGGAGAACTGCAGCAGCTCCAATGGAGTCAGCCAGGAGAAGCTAGGTAAGTCCTGCGGCGCCTCTATCCCATCCCAGCATAGAGGTGTCAGGAAAGTAGGAGAGGTCACTTCCCCGAGGAAGGTGGTGGGCATCCTGCTCCCGCCTGCTGCAGGCTCCGTGGGGACCACCTGTCCTTCCTCCTGGGAAAAAGGCAAGAAACTCTCTTAGCGGTGCTCTCAGGCACACGGCCGTTGCACCTCTACCTCACACCATTCCTTCAAGTGCTAAAAGAAGTGCTCTAAGTTGTGTGTTTGTCTTGCAGACAGGTCAGAGTGTGAAAGAGTCTTAGGGAAAAGCAGTTTGCCTTGGAAAAAGTTGGTGCTGGTAGAGAAGGCACATGACAAGTGTTCTTTGCCTAGCAACACAAGCTTGTCACAAGACATTGCCCTAATGCCTGTGAACTGGCTGCACATCAAATAGAGTGCAGCTCAACACCTTGGTCCTGACAGCCAGATTTCTCTGTTGGGTCATTTATTAGCTACCTGAGAAGCTAATCTCAATCTGAACCTAACATACTGAAGTATATTCCATTGCAATAATGTTGTACTTCTTCGTGTCATCCGTATTAGTAGGAGGAAGTCTTGGAAGTTACCAGTCAGAACTGTGGAAGTCACGCAGTAGGCACTGAATGTGGAGCTCACTGGTGTCAAGAGTACATGCATGGTTTCTTCAAATTAGTTTTCTCTGGCTTTCTAAAGCATGTACCTTCCCACTCACTTGCACATAGAGATAAATTTAAAGGCTTCCCATCCCAGTTGTGATAAAACGGTCTGTTTTGTGGGAGGGAATTTCTTGGCATTTTGTTTGGGTTTTTTTTTTTAATGGCTTCAGAAGCCTGGATAGTTTATTTTGAAGTCACTTGGTCAAAGCTGAGCACTGTGTGCTAGTAGAGTGAAAGGTGTGTAATTGCTGTTTCTCTACTGTAATCATACGGTGTGCCTGTTAACCGGGAGGAAGGGGTGTCAGTCTCCAGAACCCATGTCTCTACTTTATTTTCAGGGACACTTTGGGAGACCACTGTTCCAGCTTAAATTGAGCGGAGTGAACTTTGCTACAGTTTCGGTTTTTCTGTGGTCAGACGTTCCAATGCGCGTTTGAGAAACTTAGCAGAGTCTCTCTCTCACTCTTACAAGTTTGGACTCCATGTTGGTTTTGAAAAGACAGGTTTTGCAAGAGGCTAGGAAACTTCCTCTGAATGCAGTACACCATTTTCTTGACCACATAATAAGCTCTTAATGTTGGTTTAGTTCCAACAAAGGTATCCTAATAATTAGTTTCAAACAACACAAAATTCCCTTAACCGTTGATCTGATAGATATCTTGGCTTGTGAATTGTTCTTGCACGGCGAAACATGGTGAAAAGTTGTGCTTTTAGCTGAGTTTTGGACTAGTTCTAGACTAAAAGATTATATTATAGCATGGATTAAAATGTATATTGTTTTGAGCTAATTTGGCTGGAATTTCTCATGGGTGTCCTTCTGGCAATAACAAACAATTCAGTGTGGGTATTTAGGTGGTAATAGGGCATAATTTTGGTCACAGTGAAACTTTGAAATAAGTTTGTATTTCCTTCTATGCCCTGTCATGATTATGTAATGGATGGAGTTATTCATAGTTTACCCATGGAAATGTTACAGGTAAAGGTGCTTGGAGACTTGTGGGAAGCTGTGAGATGTGTAGGTGAAGACTAGGGAGATGACTGAGAGTGGTCCTATGCCTTCACTGGAAATTACAAAGAGGGGTAGGCCCAGATTTCCTAAGGTGGAAGTGGAAAGCTAGCGATAGCCTTAGGGGCTAGTCCTGCACAGGTCTCTTTGTGCATATACTTTATGTGAAGTTATCGGTTTATAGTTAGATTTAAATAAGCGTATTTCAAACAGACACATTTTAACCTTTTGTGAGTAAAAAAATCTCAAGAGCTTGTTGGAACCCTGTTTCCTGTTACCCACCCTTATAGATAGGTCTATTGACTTTCCAAATCTTCTTTTCTCTGAGTACTTCATACGCAGCAGAGTATCAGAAAATTTCCTCTTTCCTTGCTCTCATTGTGGACTCAGGTCTGAACTCTGTAACTTGAGATATTTTCCTCTAACTTATTGATTTCTCTGGAAAGTTTCAGGTCCCATTTCCATAACTCGTAGAAGTTGTGTGGAAAATGTAGCTGGAGCTTTAGGACAGAAGTGTGACACACAAGGTTATGAGCCTGGGGCTTGGAACTTGACCCACTCAGCCACCTTTGTAGGAGCCCACCCCCTTCTTCAGAGAGGAAAGAACTTGTAGACGCTTTATGATTACAGAATCGCAGTCATGAGAGCAGAATGGCAGAAGCTGCAGGTCATACTAACATGTTAATGTTTACAAAGCTCTGAACTGAAGAACCACGGAAGCAGTTAGAGCTCCTTGGCTTGTTGGCCCGGTGGCCAGTGCCTGTTGCATTTCTTTAACACTGGAAGTTTTCTGTCCAAAGAACTTTAGAAGAAAAGTAGGAGGTTAATCATGTAAAATACTTTCAATTTTGAACATTGGAAGATGCTTTGCTTTCAAAAAACATTCTTTGTTATGACATGTGCAGTTATTTCTCTATAGCTAGTTAAGTGCAATGGAGTGGTAATACTGCAGACAAAGGAGGGCACTAAAATGTTCATTTATGCATTGCATGGTCCATGACATATGGCTTTGGGCATCAACAGCTATATATCACTTAACAGCTGCATGCCACTTAAAAACCTTATTTTTAGTACTTTTTTTTTAATGTATTCTGAAATATAAATAACACTAGTTCATAGCATCTGAGAGCTTTGGTGAGAACTTACAGTGTCCTGTAGTGAATACCACTGATAAATTCTGCGGTTCAGAGCTAAAAGTCTCATTGTATCTCACAGTTCCGCTGTCTCCATGCGCCATCTCAGAAAAACTTCCTTTTCCTTGAATTCAGAAGTCTTTTCAAAATGAACTACTAAACCTGAGAAGAAGTGACTTTAAAGCAGTATCCATACAGCTTTTGAGCTTCTGGCCTCTCAACATTTAATGCAAAATAGCAACCTGGTCCTATGGTTTAAGAGAGATTTTAGCAATGTGATTAGCCTTCTGGTTTTTCAAATGAGGGAACAGGTGTAAGTTACTTAGCTAATTAACCAGCTTTTTTATATATGCTCTGTAATTCTGCATTTTGTTTAAGAAATGAACAATGAGTAGTCAAATGGTTAAACAGCTGGAAAATGCAAAAGCAGTTTTTCAGTAAAATAAATTAAAATGCAGTCATCTTCATACTTTGTCACTATAACTTTTAAGCTCCATGTAGAAAGAATTGCCTTCTAGACTATTTAGATCATTTATTGGGAAAACTAAATATTTCTAAGCCAGAGAAAATGTTGCCAAGTGTTATGGCAAGAGCTGCTTGCTTTTCAGATTTGCACTTAATGTGGCGAGCTTAATGTTGGTTATTATTTTATATGGAATTATAGTAATGTGTAGTATTATAGCATATGCCTAATAATTTTACCGTTTTCTTGTCAGGTGATATGAAAGACGACATGACTGACCTACAAGTGAATGGGAACGCTGGTCATTATCCTCTGGATGTAGAGGAGGTTGAAGAAGACTCTAGTGCACAGCTTAACATGCGTGGAGTTTTTCTGCATGTTTTTGGAGATGCCTTAGGTTCAGTTATTGTGGTCGTGAATGCCTTGCTCTTTTATGGGCTGTGGAATCCATGCCCCAAAGATGGGCCCTGCTTTAATCCGTGTGTCAATAATCATTGCATGGAAAATGCTACTTTATCCCAAACACTTGGCAGAGCAAACAAGTCTGATCAGGAGAGCATTACGGTGGCTGGTCCATGCTGGTTGCTGTATTTAGATCCCGTCCTTTGTTTGATCATGGTTTGTATACTCCTTTACACAACCTACCCGTTACTTAGGGAGTCAGCCCTTATACTTCTACAGACTGTTCCCAAACAAATAGATGTTCATTCTTTGAACTCAAAGTTACGTACCCTTGATGGAGTTGAAGCAGTCCACGAATTACACATTTGGCAGCTAGCAGGCAGTAGGATCATTGGCACTGCTCACATAAAGTGTCCCGACCCTTCCACATACATGATGGTGGCAAAGCGCATAAAAGAGATCTTCCATGACGAAGGGATTCATGCAACTACCATTCAGCCTGAGTTTGCCAGCGTCGGCTCTGAATCAGGGAGAGGGAAATGTGAGTTTCCTTGCAGGACTCAGTGTGCTTTGAAGCAGTGTTGTGGAACGGCAGAAGATACTACTACAAAGAAGACAGAAAAATCTTCGTCGCTTAGTATTTCTTGTTCAGAAGTTGTCATTGAATTTCCGAAAACTAGGAGGACTAAGTCGGAGAGTATCCCTTCGGTTAAGCTAGAGGCAAACACCGATCAAAACGAGCAGTTTGAGTCATCTTTGTAACTCCCTGAATGGTGCTACCTGAGTTTTGGTGACTTTGACAACAGCTATATTGCAAGAGGAAGAGACAGACGTTTGAGATGCAATTTTGCCAAGTAGTGTAACTGCTGAAGTCCTTGTTCTTGTCATACTGCTAAATCTAGAATGCTTGTTTTAAAGAACATAATGTCACTGTCATGATACAATGTGTTTGTGTTGACTTTGTACTGAGGCAGACAGAAAGTGCACCGTGCTGTAACAACTTCAGAAAACCAGTTTCCACATTTCAGCGGAGACACTTTTTGCTGTGCTTCAAATTAAAATATTTTTTCCAGTGAAAAGGTATTTGAGGGATAAGCATGTAAGAACTCAATTTGTGTTACAGATTTCATGGACCTACTCTTTCCTTTAATATTTGATTTGTAGATATTTTAATATATTGTTTATTTAGAAGCCCTAAGGAAACCAAAGTTCATAGAACATTTTTAAAGATATAACTACTTAAAACTGGAAACCACTTTGCAGTTTCACGTATTTTTCTTAAACCTACATAATAATAAATGTGAAGGCTTTTCTAATGAATTTCTTGTATAGCATATTTTAAAGAGAACATCATGTGATTGTTAGAAACTGTCCCCGCCTTTTTTGGTAAGGTAGCGAGGTAATTAGAATCAACTGCTTGTGAAAATATCAGATGTGAAAAGGTTTTTTTTCTATCAGAAAGGAAGTTCAAGCTACTGTATACTACTCTGTGATCAAGACGTGAGACTGACCGACAAAGTAACACATACTTTCATATTTTATGGATTTTCTGGTGTTTTTCCTCATTTCCAAGTTGTGTCTGGTCATAGAAGTCTTTGAAGTTCAAAGAATCCTTGACTACAGTGCTATGAATGAAGAGCTGGAGCTTCATTTTTAACGGATTCTCAGTTTACTAAGATGAAAGAATTAGTTATGTCAATAAGTGCTCTGTTGGGGGAAGTCTGCCAAGCCCCAACAGTATAATTCGTGCTTTTAAGCATAGACAGTAGCCTCTGTAACTAACAAGTAATTCAGTGGTGCATTTTGCTTGTAGTGTGTCTATAAGCACTTGCAGTGACTGCAATCCTGGTCCCTACCGTGTCCTCAGGAGCCTTTAGGAAGTGGGAAGGAAGACTTTTGAGGAAGTGGGGCAGGGAGTAGGATCTCATTCACTGTATTTCACGCTTTGGGGTTTTTATGTATCACATAATTTCACTTCTTAAGTATCCGAATCTACGGTTTAAAATGTTAACTCAGTTAATTGGCAACTGGCTCTAAAGAAGCTGTTACAGTATGCTGCCAACTTACACCTTAACAAAGGAGTAACTGGTCTACGGACTCTGAATTTGGCAGACACTAGATGAGAGTTGAAGATAAAACATACAAGAAAACTAATCTAAACCCCTGACCCTTTTGATCCACCCTCAAGTTATGTATGGGAAACAATATCGTGTGATTTAATTGACTGCTCCTATGCTCAAAACTGGAAAACAACTCAGATCTTCCATTGTTTGCTCTATGACTCTGGATGTGATAAACACTCTGCCTCAGTTTCCCCATCTTAAAATGGGGATAATACCTACCTCACAGGGGTGTTGTGAGGCTTAACTCTTGTGTGAAGAGCTCAGAGATCTGTTACTGGAAGGCACTGGAAGGAGTATAAGATACTAAATTACGTGGTGTTTACTTCTTCTACAAATGTATTGCAATACCTAGGCACAACAGAGGGAACTGAGGATAGTTTTGGCCTTATGAAATTCTTTGATGCTGTGGTTTTCAGGTTTTTAACAGTATTTAAATGTAGATTTTTTTAAAAAGAATGTTTTGTTAGTGAAGGGAATGTAGCTTTGCCTCCAGATACAGAACGCCTCGCTAGTTTGCATCTCTAGTATGTGTCTCGTATGATAATTGCTCCTAAGTAGTTAAAAATAGTCTGCTGCTCGTCGGACCTGGATTAGCCCAGATCGTGTCAGTGGTCTTACCCAACTTCTCAGCAGAGCATTGCAGTCAACTCTCGATTATCCATAGGTGGATTACCAGTGTTGTGTATTAACTGTGCAGTCTACAGGGCCAGACTAGCTCTGGATCGCATGCCAACGCGTTGGCCAAATGCTATGTGCCAAAGCATTGGAAAAGTAAAGGAGCTTAGTGCAGTTTCGCACGAGCCCGCTCGCACAGGGCTTGTTAGCTTGGGTGCAGCGCAGCACCGTGCAGTTATTTTGCCTCTTGGCTGCTCAGGTGCATCCACAGGAAGCTGCAGCGCGTGGATGGGTCAGTTCAGCTTTGCGCTAGCTCGCGGATGTTGGTGCTTCCCAGCCATCAGCATCACTCACCTTTTTCTGTGTTTATGCCTGTTGTATAGTCTCATAAACTAACTTAAATATGTTAATATAGTATTTATGTATGTTTTTGTTTTGTCTGAATTATCTTAACACTTTCTCCTGTTACCTGTATATGATCTAGAGTTGACTGTTAAATGAGATCTTGTATGAGACTACATTTGCAAAATATGCTACCACTGCTAGTATACTACAAAGTATTAACCAAGTAAATTTTGAAATGAACAAAGTACTATTTTTTTGGAAATGTGTATCCTTGCTTTTTATGGTAAACTTTCACTAATTATTTTGCTTGGTAGTTTAAAATTGGTTTCAGTCATTAGTATGAATTATTGAGGTCCTGCTGTATATCACTAATGCGCCATGGAACTACTGCTCTTTAGTTTATTTTAAAAAGAAAAACCAAGACAAACCATAGTAGCACTGAGAAGCCTGATTTATTTCTCTCCTGTTGCTCTTATAAAAAGAGAACAACTATTAAGTCTTGACAGTTACCACCATTGGTTAACCGTCTCAGTAAATGCATCTGAATAGATGGAGTTGTAGTCACTAATTCCATTGTAACTATTTAATCTTCTTTTTTTTTTTTTGTGCCAGAAGTCATATTTTTCTATTTCTGTGTCCATTGCAGGCAATGGCTAGCTTAAAAGACAAAAAGCTCTCCCCCACATTATTTTTATTATCAGGACAGATGCAGATGTGACTATGATGATGATGATGGGGGCAGAAAGGGGGAGTTGCGTGGCCTCTCTGTTGTGCGCTGTGTGGCATGTGCAGCACCAGCTGGTGTTAACAGGGCCCTTTAGTCTCTTTAGCCCTCGATGGCAAATTCCCTGAAAGCATATAGTCAGGTCAGGTGGTGGCTGTACAGCAGCAGGAACACAATTTTTGTGTTTGTTCTGGCTGTATGAGACCCGACTGTAGCCTGCTAGCTTGCGATATAACTTGATTTTTTTTTAACCTGATCTGTCTGTGGTTACAGAGACTTGATTTGTTCTGAAGATCAGAATTCCTGAATACTGGGAGCATTCAAAACCACTGCACGGTCTTTTTTTTTTTTTTTTCTCCACAAAGCATTAAACTAGTGAATCTCATGTAAGTGAACACTGCAGTGGTGGGGAGCTAATTGTATTGTGTATCACATTCCTAAATTTTTAAAATAAAAAAAATATGGAACACGGATTTTAAGGAAAAATAAGTTTGTATTTCAGTGTCTAGATTGTTTATGCTTCTCATTAAATATCAGAGATGTACCAAACATCATTGGGTGAAATATTTCACACTTAGTGCATGTCTTATCCAGAAACACGCTATTTTAGAATCACTTCTTAGATTGTATCTGCACCTAAGGGTGCAGTGCAGAACTAATTCAGACACTCAGCGGGCTAACCACAGTACCGGGAAGCTTTACTTCTTAGCAGAGTAAATTGCTTCGGTGGAACCCCTCATAATTTTAGCTTTATTGCTTTCAACATCCACTCTAGGCTTTTGGTAATATCTGTTATTGCTGCATCATGGTATTCAGTATGGACATATGCATAGTTATGTAAAAGACAAAACTAGCCCCAACCTGTGACTCCCCAGAAGTCATGGCAAGGGCTCGGTCCTGTAAATTTCTGTATTCATGAATAGTTTTATTGGGCTGACGAGTAGTTACTTGCATGCAACGAATTACTTGGGGGAATGAGTCCAAAGCTGCTGCCAGTACAGCCTAGCTTTTGAAGAATGACTGAAAGTACTGAGATTTTATGGATGCATTAAAATCAGGAGTACTGTGGTGTTTTTAAATTTGCTGCAGAAATACTATCAGTGTGTTATAATTCCAGGATGTATTCCTTTTCCCCGTTCTCCGAAAAGAAAGAAGAGCAGCCCACTGAGTGTCCTAAGACTTGGTAACAAGTTTAGCTAAACTGACATTGCTGTTTGCTTCTGAAATTGGGCCATCTGAATTTATTAAACACTGCCTAGTGGAGTTAGTTTGGGGAGGAGGGATAAAGATTCTTGCCATTCTCCTTCCCCTACCCCCTGCTTTGGCTGCACTTTCTAATCTCTTCAGCTATGGAGAGACCGGGGGGGACGGAGGGGATGAATTTCATAGCTAGATGTTCAGAGTTCCACATGGAGGGAATGGGAAATACTGCTAACTATATTTAAAAGCATATAAATATGCTTTGACTATTTTAGTTGCATAGCACAGCATCAGTTACGCCCTTTTTAGGTATGCATTTAAGTTGTTCAGCTCTGTAGTAACTTCGGGTTTTTCTTTCTCTGCTGGACGGAAAGAGGTGGATGCTCCATGTGCCAGAGCTAAAGCCAGTCTTGACAATTTTCCAAATCAAACGTAGCTTTGCTGATAACAGGAGGTCTGATTAGTCCTTATGACCTTTGCTTTGTGTGGTTAGCTGCCTGTGACGTATGCTACCATGCTTTAGCAGGCTCACGTTTATATTTTTTTTCATTCACTGTGTTATCTAAGTAGTTGAAGAGCAAAACCACCGTACTGAAAAATGCCTTTCATCTGTATGTCTCCAAAAAGCACATGGGATTAATTTGGCTTCTTTTTTTTTTTTCATGTCCTGGATCCTGTTTCTGAGCAATATTGAAATATAATTGGCATAGCTAGTGTTCATTGATGATATTTCTTTTTGCCTTCTTTTAAAATAAATAATAATGGGTTTTGTTGTTGTTTTTTTTGTTTGTGTTTTTTTTTTTTTAAATTAAGTATTAAAGTCCTGAGAAAATAAATGGAGCTCTTGAATGTCAAATGCTTTTAGTTGGGATTTCTTTCTCACATCAGTTCCTAGGAAGAAATTTGGCTAGTAGAAATGCACTTTCACTGTCTCCCAGAACCTCAGAAACACATCAAAATGTAACATACGGGTCAATAAGGTAGGCTTCCTAATAGAAGTCTATACTGTTTTATAGAATGTCTTTGGAAGATAGTTACTTTGGAGTAGAAGATGGTTTGGTGTTTTTCAACTTCATTTGCTTCAATATACACTGCCATTTGTAAAGTTTGTTGGGAGAAAAGTACTGACTGCAGGAGAAGATACAGCTGCCAGCTATAATGCTGAGGAGGGCAGCATCGTTATTAATACCTGCCCAGTGCTGTTCATGGGCCTGCGATGATGAGTTCATTTTGGAGCCCTTCACCGGTGCAGCTTCAGCAGCTGCTTTTTTCTGCTTCACGAGGGAAAAGTGATTCTGTATTATTAGTTATGTATGCAGGAGGGTATGTTTGGTTGGACTGTAAGCAGTGCATGTGAGCTTGATTTTTGCCATCTTCCAAAGCTACTTCTACCTCATCATGAAAAGATGCAATTTAAACTTAATACGAACATCCTTTGTGAGACATGCTAGTGCAGGAATTTTTAATTAACAGGATGGGAAGGGAAGCTTCAGGTCTATAGCTTGCTTTTGCTTTTACGCATGCC